ACTGAAAGATTTTAATTCTTAATTCCTGTCTTGGATGCCATATATGCTGAAAAGAGAAATCATTGTAAGTCTGCTCCCTAACCTCTTCATATGTTGTTTTAAAAGAAAACTTACCACTATCTTCTGCATTCCAGGTAAGGTAACCAGAAGGTCTATCTGAGCATAAAGATGAAGCATAATCATTGATTTCACAGATTCTTCTCCATATTGCTGAATCTGAGACCTTAGGTATCATACATCCACTTCTATTATATCTGTCTCTAACAAAATTTGCCCAAATAGAATTGCTAGTTTTCCACTTCCACCAAAGTTTAATAGAGAAAACTTTTTCAATATCACTTAGGGATCTTATACCCAATCCACCTTCAGTAGTAGGTCTGCAAAGATTTTTCCAACTGATCCAATGATGCTTCTTTTTAATATCAGAAGAACCCCAAAAGAATGAAGCCATTTTATTATTCAATATCTTAACCACTTTCTTAGGAAGCAAATCCACAGCTAGCATATGAAGTGGAATAGAATTAAGAACATGTTTGATTAAAATAAGCCTACCACCTTGTGACAGATGTTTCTGCTTCCAAGGGGTTAACTTATTTTCAAATTGCTTGATAATCTGACCACAAAATTGAAACCTGTTCATCCCTTTATGTAAATTAGCTCCCAGATATTTCATGGGTAAGGAAGACATCTTCATACCCATAAGATTTTTAATTCTAACCTGCCTGGATGGAGAGGTTTTTCCACAAATAAATGAACTCTTGTCTAAATTCACAAGCTGACCAGAAGCTTCTTGATAGCACTCTAAAAAGTGTTTAAAATTAAGAAATGATCTAGAATCCCCATTAAGAAATACCAATAGATCATCAGCAAAACCCAGATGTGAAAAGGGGTACCCAAAACTGCCCATCCAATAGGGTTTAATACAGCCTTTCTCCATAATCCAGTTAAGCCCTCTTGAGAAGCCTTCAGATGCAATAATAAACAAGAAAGGAGAAAGGGGATCACCTTGTTTAACCCCTCTAGTAGGTTCAAAAATCCTTGAGGACTGCCATTAACAAGAACACATAAGTAAGTGGACTTAAGATTATTCATTACCAAATGAATGAATTGAGAGGAAAACCCAAATCTGAAAAGAACTTCATTAAGATAGGCCCAAGATAACCTATCAAAAGCCTTAGCCATATCAAGCTTAATCACCATGTTGGACCCTCTGACCTTTTTGTCTATACTGTGCACCATTTCTTGAGCAATCAAGATTTGATCTGCCATATCTCTAGTAGCCATAAACCCAGCCTGCTCCTTAGAGATAATCTTAGGAAGAATAATACCAAGTCTGGAAGCAAGAACCTTACTGCAGACTTTGCCAATGAAATTAGACAGACAAATAGGTCTAAATTCAGCAAAGGAATTAGGGTTATCAGTCTTAGGGATTAAGACAATAAAAGAGCTAGACATTCCCTTTGGGATAGGAATGCCCAAGAAGAACTCTTGAACTGCACTAGTCACATCTTTGCCAACAATATCCCAACATTTCTTAAAAAAATTTCCATTATACCCATCTGGTCCAGGCACACTATTTTGATTTAAATCCCAAACCACTTTCTTAACTTCATCATGACTTGGCAGGTGGGTGAGATTGTAATTATCTTCCTGAGTAATGAGGGAAGAAATATGGTTCAGAATCTCATTATGTGCTACATTGCTCTGAACAGAATACAAGCCCTTAAAAAAATCAACTGCAACTTCTCCTATCTGATCATGGGAAGAAATAGTGTTTCCAGCACCATCTTTGATTGAGGTAATAGACTGCTTTCTGTTTCTAGTTTTAACAAAAGAATGAAAGAATTTGGAATTGCAATCCCCTTCCTTAATCCATTTAATGTGAGCTTTCTGTTTCCAAAATTTTCTTTCAAACTTAAGTTTAATAAGAAGCAAACACCTTTTATGAGCCCAATCTTCCTTAGTATCATCTCCAGGTTTTTCTTCATAAGCTTTTTCTGCCAGCAGAACCTCATTTTCACAATGTTTTATATCATCAAAAATATTGCCAAAAACTTCCTTGTTCCACACCTTGAGTTCCTTTTTAAGATACTGTAGCTTAGATACCAGGCCCCTCATCCCTCCTCCATATTCATAAGTGTTCCAGCTCTTCTTAACAAAATCCATAAACAAAGCATTAGAGAACCACATATTCTGGAATCTAAAAGGCTTTGGTCCAGTTTGACCTTTATTAGCACACTGAATAAGAAGGGGATTGTGGTCAGAAGAAGTTTTATTGAGTAGGGAGACCTGTATATGATCAAAACAATCAATGCATTTTTTGATTAAACAACACCCTATCTAATCTTCTCCAAACTCTACCGTTTGATCTAACACCAGTCCATGTGTATTTAGGTCCTGAAACTGGCAGATCAATCAACTCACATGCTGATATACATTCTGCAAAATCATTAACCCCTCGAAGTATTGGTAAAAAATTGTCCTTATGCTCACAATGTTTAGTAATTTCATTAAACCCCCCCCCCCCCAAGATCCAAGGTTCGACCATATTACCAGAAATAGACTTAAGAGATGACCACATATCTCTTCTTGTAATATAATTATGCTGACCGTAAATTCCAGTAAACCAACCATTATATAAACTGCCTGTAACTTTAAAATGAGCAAATTGATTATGCCATTGGATCTGAGTAATCTGAACAGAATTAGAATTCCAAAAAATCCATACTTTAGTACCAAAAGAACAAGCTGCTTCATCGAAACCTATAACAAATTTGTAATGACTAATTTTAAGCATGTCCACCATAGGCTCAATAACCACCACAAGAACCAACCTCCATTGTTGAACTAGGGAACTTAATCTGGAACTGGAGGATTCCAGACCCCTAGCATTCCAAATTAAGAAATTCATTGGACTGTTTGGATATCAGCCCCCTCACCCCTAGCTGCACTTCTTGTTGCCCTCCTAAATGCTGGATCAGTAGGTGATTTTCTCCTAACATTTTTCCTTTCAACTTTAGTAAAACCCTCCTCCTCCTCTTCTGATTGTGTGTAGTTTAAAACAGGTTGTTGTGACTCAGGAATTTGAGATGATTGCATAGCATTTCCAGATTTAGACAGGTTGTTTGCCTCTGCTGAATTGGTAAGATTTTCTGCCTCTGCTGCTTCTAATCTGATAACCATGGCCTCCACTGATTTTAATATAAAAGGATCTAAGTTTTCAATGCTATCTGAAGACATCTTATTATTGTGATCACCTTCTGAATGATACCCTTTATTGAGAATTGACAGATCCTTATCTATTTGTTTGTTCAAATGCAGCATATGGAAATCATCTTGGATCATTGCAATGTCCCCAGGAGATGAATTGCAAATACCAGATATTTCCATCTGTATGAGAGATTTAATTTCTTCCTTTTCCCTTGCAGTTGGAATCTCTAGAGAGACCATCTCTGGAACTAAATCAATCTGCTCAATCTGTAGCTTTGATGTAGATTGTGTATTTGAAAGATTAACCTCTGTAATCTTAGCTTTCCCTTTTTCCTCTGTAGTGTACTTCCTGTCCTGAGTAATTTCCTTGGTTGAAATTACTTTCTGCACCCATTTATCCTTTTGTAATGCTAGCATTTTAGGTTGCTCCGCAGTCCTCTTGGGGCATTTAGATTTAGAATGCCCTAAGTGTAAACATGAGGTACAATATTCAGGGCAATTCTCATAGATAACACTTTGAGAAAAGCCATACGACCCACAATTGATCCATATCTTCTGAGGCATTTCCTTAGTAAGATCAATTTCGACATAGACCCTCGCAACAGAAGGCCTAGATAAATTTGCAGTAGCTGAATCAATTGATAGAGGCTTACCTACAAGTTTAGCAATTTCCAGCAATGCCCTTTTATCCTGCAAATGTAATGGCAGCCCTTCCATAGCAATCCAAACCGGAACCAAAGGAGATTCGACATTAGGTCGAAACTCCGGGGTCCACCTTGTGACTCTCATAGTATGGCCTTGAATAATCCAAGCTTGTCGTGTCCAACAACGTAGAAAATCTTCCTCCAAATTGAAACGAATAAGAACATGCTTATTATCTAAAACTCCCAGATTGAAACTCCCTTTGAAACCAATTATTTCAAACGATTTGCGCAAAATAGTAAGGGATGGCTTGCCTTTATAAAAATAACCAATCAAAGCACGATTATGCTGATCCGCTAGAAGCTTGATGTCCCCTTCAGTGAAAGAAATCGCAGGCATCCCTTTATGCCTAGAAGGTGTTTTAGCCGAGAGAGGTCCTTGTCCTCCCACAACCTCTGCAAATGATTTCCGTGCCCAAGCATTCAGTTGTGGTGGCGGCTCTGCCGCCACCGAAGAGATCGCCGTCATAGAAGTTCGCCGTCAGCTCCAAACCCTTACGAGCCAAAGGAAATTGTTCTAAAAGTTGGGTGCCTCTGGGACCACCACCCTTCGCCGAGGGATCTCTTACTCAAGATACTACAAATCGAAGGGTCTATTCACCATGAATTATGGAAAATGTTCTAAAGTCCTAAATGGTTGGCCCTCAGCCAACCCATCATGCAACGAAGGCCAAGCCATTCAATACAACTAAGGGAAGGCGTAGGTCGAAGGCCAAGTGACAAGCAACACTTAGAAAAATTTTCTATGTCCTAGATATTTGACCCTCAGTCAAATCCCCATGCAGCCCGAGGGGCCACAAAACCGAAGGCCTGGTGGAAGAACTACACTTAGAAAAATTTTCTAAGTCCTAAATATTTGGCCCTCAGTCAAATCCCCATGCAGCCAGAGGGACCACACAACCGAAGGCTTGGTGGAAGAACAACACTAAGAAAATTTCTCTATGTCCTAAACAAGTAACAACTAAAACATCAGAGTACGAAGGCATTCATTAACGAAGAAAAGACGAAGGCATACATTCAAAGAAAAAGCAAATTATGTATAAAAAGCCCGAAGGCAGGCATTCATTCATAAACAGGGAGTAAAAGTTGCTGGCAATCATGGCCGAAGCCGAAAGTTACATAGATGTTTATACAAAAGGTGTTCAAATCATACAACCACGACATCATCAACAATTTCAACAGAGACCCCCTCGGCAGGCTTAGAGGAAACATCCCCCTCGGTCCCTTCATCATCATCACTTGGTGCCTCCGCCATTAGGACTGTGTCTTGTAGAACCGACCTCTCTTCGCCCGGGGGGAGGGGAACACGAATGTCTGGTTGCAGAGGGGGAGGCCATATGTCGCAGGGTCAAACTTCTCCGGATCAACTTGGAAGTGCCTGGCGAGCCTCCGGTAAACGAGGGCTTGGGTGAAATACTCACCGCACTCGTAGTAACTCTTGCCCTTCTGGGCCATCCACTCAATCCCGGGGCCCTTAACCAAGGCATCCACCGAGGCCGCAACAACCGAGTCAACCCATTCCTCCTCGCCCTCAGCTTTCCACCCCTCAGCATGAAAGGCGGCAACAGCGTCCTCCCGGGCTTTGACAACAGCTTCCGCTTTTTCAGCCTCGGCCTCGTCAGCGGCTTTCTGTGCGGCCTCAGCAGCAACCTTGGCAGCTTCGGCTTTCTCCTTTCTGGCTCTTTCGGCCTCCTCCCTCACTTGTCGAAGGTCCTCCTCCAGCTGGGCCATCCGCCTCACAGCGTCATGGTTGTCATGAATCAGCTTTTTCACCTTCTCAGCATCCAGGGCTTTCTGAAGGTGCCACTCCTCTAGCTTTCGAGCCTGCTCACCGAGGGCGATACAAGTCTGCAGATAACAGGGGAATCAGGACACCATACAAAGTACTTTAAAGAAAACCGGAAACAAAGGGGACAACTCACAGTGAGGGAAGATCGGAGGATCTTGGACTCGAGGGCTTCGTCCTCAAGCCTGCCGAGGGTGGCCCTATCGAACGAGGGAGTAGCACCCCGAAGGAACTCTATCGGATCCATGGTCCCCTTCAGAAGGGAAGAAGGTATGTCCTCCCGGGGTAAGCCCCCCTCTCCCCTCTGTGCCGAAGGGAGGCCAGAGGCAGTCGTCTCCGCCACAACATGAAGCCCGGAGGCAGAGTCCTCCCCCACGACCACAACCAGGGGGGTTTTCTTCTCAGCATCCCCTCTCCGGGGTTTCTTCCCTTCGGGAACTGGGCCTTTGCCTACCGGCTTCCTCTTAGCAGCAACATCAGCAGGGGCAGTAGCCGAAGGTTCCCCACCCTTCTTGGGGAGTGCATCGAGGGGCTTCTGGACGCCCGCATCCTTCTTTTTGGGCTCCTTCGTTGACTTCTTCATGAAGCCCGCGAAGTTTTTCAGATCCATTTCAGCACCTGCAAAATAAGGCAAACAAATGAGACCGGAGGGTCAGAAAAGAAATTAATCTACGCAAAAATCCTAACTACAAAAAGGCAGAGCCTTCAGAGACCTACCTCCTACAAAATGTTCAAGGACAGGGTACTTAGCATCCGTCTCCCCTAAGAAACGAAAGCGGCGGAAGCCTAGCCCATACAAATCATCGTCGAGGGTCAGCTCCTTGACCATCATGTGCTTTTTGTGCCCCTCGAGGATAGCAGAGATGATCTTCCAGGCCTTCTCGAGGGCAGTACTCCCCACCTTCGGGTGTCGCCTGAAACGATCTCGCAGCTCCCTCGGGAATGGATTATCTGGCATCTTCACATAACAAAACCGGTCCCTCCAGCCCTTGTGGGACGAGGGCACGTCGTCAAAAAGTCTCCACGGGGCAATCTGTTGAAGGTTCGCATAGCCTTCGGAGTTAGCATGCCCCCCCCCCCCCCCCCCCCCCCGGCACAGATTGAAGCTATGGAAAAAGAGGTCCAGAGTGGGGGCAACCCCCCTGGATTCACAGAGACGCAGGAAGGCCGCAATATACGAATGACTGTTTGGGGTAAGTTGGCAGGGGGCTAGGCCAACGTACGTGAGATACTCCAGGAGGAATGGGTGCAACGAGAAGCGGAGGCCCATTGAAACAGAGAGGATATGAACTGCGAAGCACCCCTCGGGAGACCGGGAGAGTACGTCATTCGGACCCGGCTCAACCACATCCGCTGAAGGCCCCAAGTGCAACTGCGTCACGTAGCACTCAGCCCGATCAGCCCTCGAATTTATCGCGAGGGCAACAGTATTCAACCAGGAATACCCCTCGGGAATCCCAACCGGTTTTCCTTGGTCGGCAGCACCTTTCTTCTTGGAAGCTCCCGTTTTCTTCGTCTTCTTCGGCCCGGGAGCTACCCTGAGAGGTGTGGGGTTCAAGGGCCGGAAGATGCTGGCCTCACCCGCATTCCGGGGGGGAAGGACGGCAACAGTAACCTTCGTCCTATCCTTCTGCTCCTCCTGCTCAGCAACTTGAACGACGAGGGCCATCTCCTCGTCTTCGATCACCTATTCGAAGTCCTCAGCTTCGGCCTCGGCAACGAGGTCTTTCTGTACCTCTATGGCCATTGCAGCATCATTCCCGGCCGAGGGTTGCTCACTCGTGGACTCCACGTCTGAGATACTTTCCTCCTCCATCGAAGGCTCCCTCAAGATGTTCTGTGAGTCGCTTTGCGAAGACATCCTCGAAGGCTAAGTGACGAGGGTTTCTACAACAGGGGGCTACCTAAGGAACTATAGCGCTTAGCCTAAGGCTATGAAAGATTGAACTCGACAAAACGAAAAGGAAAGAAAAGTATGCTGAAGGTAGCGGAGAGTGGATCGAAGACTGACCTTGAAGCTGGTAGTTTGACCGAAGGGAATTTTCTCTCTCTAGAAATATTTGGCCAGAGCTTTGCTATAGTATGATCGCACAAGGATAATGGCCTTGGCCTTGGGGTATTTAAAGGCACCCAGATCCGGGCTTGTGCCCAAAATCGGGCCTCCGGTTACGAAAATCATCATTACACACCGCCGGTTTGACCAACCAATGACCCCCGCCCACCGGGAGCAAACGAGCACACGCCACGTGGACCCCACTTCCAATGGTCATATTTCAACGGCTATATTTTGAAACACAGAGGTGCTCCCGGCCGGTACCCCTCATACAACATCACAAGTGCCTTCGGGCTTTCACGATCAAGAGCCCATGGCTTAACAACGGGTAAACCCCTCGGGAACCTTCATCAACTGTCCCCCCGGCCACACAACAAGGGGACCCCTCGGGAACATCGAATTTAACACCCCTCTTAGGTGGACAGCCTTCAACATACAACAACGGGACCCTCGGGTTCCCTCATCCCCAGCTTGTCATTAGCTAGAGAACCCCCCCGCAACACATCAACTACCACTTAAATTCATCACGCCCTCAACCCCATGGATTGAGGGACTCCCCTTCGGCATCTCCCGGGACATCTACAAAGCGCCTTCTGTAGGTCAAACCACGCGCCCTCAGATCAAGAGTAGCCTTCGGCATAAACTTTGTCCTTCATCTCAGACCAAGGTTTCACCTTTTCGAGTCATCATTGGGGGAATTCGGTGCACTCTTTTTCCCTCATTAGGATTTTTTCCCACAGGGTTTTTCCTAGTGAGGTTTTTAACGAGGCATCCCCCCAAAATGAAATGAAAAGTGTCAACCTTCGGCCCTACGCGACAGCATGCACTATTCTACTCCTCTTCACCACATTACATGTGTGTAACACCCCTAAATTTCCCGCCCAAAACATTGATATATTTAAAAGAAATACTTTATTCATTCATCAAAGAGTTGAAGAAATACAGCGGAAGTCTAAAAGGGAAATGAGTGTTACCGCCACATTCGGTCATCTCTTAACCGAATGCACAGGCAACTCAAAGTAAAACAATAAAAACTAATGTAACAATAAGTAAATGATTGTTTTATGACTAGATTTAACTAAGGCATCTTCTAATTCGCACTCAAGCTCGAGCAATCCGTCAATCCACATAGGTATCCAACTCATCACCTGATAAAATTTAAGGGAGAAGAGAGAGACAAGAAAAATAACAAAAATTAGCTTTAGAGCTAAGTAAGTACTACCCAATCCCGTAAAATACTCAGGTTTGGCTAAAAATAGATTTTTATATAATAATATATAAAAATACTCACACCATCAAAATTCTTTTCACTTTGATTTTTCTCAAACTACTTCTTTACAAAAATGCTCAACTTCTCTTAAAAACTTCATAATAACTCTTCTCTTTGATTTCCTCAAAAAAAATCACTTCTTCTCTAACTTCCTAGTAATTTAGAAGAGCGGTGCTTAACCTTTCGGTAGAGCCCGGTGGACCGTGGTTACGGACGGCAACCCCGAACAAGTGCCGGTACCACAACTGCTCTGTTGGAAACGAAACGGCTACCTTAAGTGTGCACACCCCCTAAAAGGGATTCCAAGCCCTCCGAGTAGTAAGTCATCCCGAGTGGTCGGAACCCAACCACCCCAATTCTAAAATTCTTGAATGATTAGGGACTACTACTATAACTTCTTCTTAAAAGGGATCATAGATCCAAATCTTACTTAAAAGGGATCATAGATCCAAATCTTACTTAAAAGGGATCATAGATCCAAACTGTACTTCTTAGTAGTAGTAACTCTAATCACCCTTCACATTTATCCGGATGTGGAAAAACCGACACCTCGGATTACTCCCGAGATGCTATCTTCTTATAAAAATGTAAATTTTATCTTTGCTTAACAATAATTCAAAAATACTTCTTAATTTCTCTAAAAAGTCTTGAAGGTATTTAAAAATATTTAATACCCCAAAAGTACTTGATTTATACTTCTTAATTTCTCTGAAAAGTCTCGAAGGTATTTAAAAATATTTAATACCCCAAAAGTACTTGATTTATACTTCTTAACTACCATATATATAATATCTTCTCAAAATCACATACACAAAATTCACAAATCACACTTAATCACATAATGCATAATAAGCATATAATACGAGGAAACAATTTTGGATTGGCAGAGAAACTTACCTTAAGTCCTGATGCTCCTAGTTATCCTCTTCTAATCCGATCTCTAGATAATCACCTTTTTAATTAAATATGATAAATTAGTCACTTATTCTATTTGTAATTACTTTACCCGATTTTCCCCTTTTTTATTCTTTTATTCGAATTTATTAATTTAATTAATTAATTATTCGAGTTAATCACTTTTATTAATCAAATACCTTATTAATTTCGTCATTAATTACAATATTTGAATTCTAAACCTAAATAAAATATCCGAATATTATTGACTACAACATCCAATTTTTATTCAATAATCACCATTAATTTTCTCTAATTATTATCTAATTACTTTATTTACATAACCGAATATATTTATTTTCCTTATTTTATTCAAACATTATTTTTAGTCCAGAATATTATTTTTCAACCTCACTGATTTATTTATTTCATCATTAATATTAATATTTCCTTATTTAATTACTTAACTAGTTTTATATGGCCTAATTTAAATAAATAGACTAAGAATCGACTTTATAAATTAGTAACCGTCCATAAATATATTTTGGGTCTATATTCGACCTAGGTTGTCCAGATATCTATTTTATAATTATTTCCCATAATTATTCCTTTAATTTCATATATCTATTAACCGGTTTAATTACAACTAAATATACTAAATCTTATTTTTTATTAATTATAAATGGTCCATAAGGTCCTAGTTAGTCATATATTTATCCTAGTTTACTCCAATATTTATTTCATAATTATTTTCGTTATTTAGTTAATTATTTACTAAATGTGTATAAATTGGCCCAATTACCATTAAATCAATTAAAAATAGCTACAAATATTATATTCCAATTCTGGTTGGTCCGAATATGTATATTTATACTAGGTATTTAATTTATATTTTTCCAGATTTTATTTATTTCATTTACTATTTTATTTTTAATTTTTATTGCAACTGGGCCGAACTGGCCCATTTATAATTTTTTCTGGCCCAACCTGAAAAGGCCCAAAAGACAGACCCAGCAATTGCTGGGTTGTCTTCTTCCCCAGGTCGCCGGAGAACGGAAAATGCAGGGAGAGGGCTGTACTTACCAACGGAAGAGCGGCACGGATTCGGCGCTGGACCTGGTGGGAGACGGTGTTGCAGCAAGCCCGTCCGGCGGTGCAGCTTCAGGCCTTCAGCCCCTCCTTTACTTTCACGTCAAACCAACTCCGGTGAAACTCCGGCGACTGATTTCTCCCTCGTTTCACGACCGATTTCAACGAATCTTTCTCCGTTGGATTCCTTTCTCGAAGGGGAAGATTTGAGAAGTATTTTCAAGGTTTGGTTCGGGCTAGAACCAAGGGTCGAAAATATAGAGTATATATATATATATATATACGTATATATGTATGTATTGCTCGCAGTTTTGAATGAATAAAATCGCAGGTTTGGCTTGTTATTTATAGGAAAAGATGAGGGTTTTAGGCTGAGATGTTAGAGTTTGAGTTGAACTCATTTGGCTTCTTCCGTTGGGACTCCCGCAGGTTGAGTTATTTCATGCGTAAAACGTGGTTTGATACATTCCTAATCTGTATTGAAGTCTTTTAAAGGTTTAAATCTTTCTTTTCTTTTATTACGTACTTCGTATGTCTTATCTTTTGTATCAATGCATGTGTTTAGTTATTATGGTCTTAGATAAATACGTAGGTATATTTTATGCATTAGGAGTGTATTAGTATTATTAGAAAAGTCAAGTTTGTATTTTGTGTATTTTGATTAAAATATAACTTTTACTTCTTATGTCATATGTATAATTGGTACTTGATATAAAATGTTATTTCTTTTATCGGACCAATTTTTATCAGACTAAAAATGTCACAAATGTTAATTTTTGTCTGGTTTACTTGTTTAATAAAATGTTGTTCCTATTACTGAAATATTTTTATCTGACTAAAACGTCATAAATTTTGAAATTTTATCTGTTTAGAATTTTACAACTGTTGAATTTTTGTCTGACTCAATTAATAATTAAAATGTTATTTTCGTAATATTTTATCTGATTAAAAAAATTATTTTTATTTTTATTTAAATTTTTGAAGTGTCACATTCTACCCTCTTTAAAAGATGTTTCGTCCGAAACATTAGCTAAATCTAAATAATCAAATTCTTAAGTATTACATTCTACCCCCCTTAAAGAGAGGTTACGTCCTCGTAACTAATATTTTACCTTAGTCAAATAACTTCGGATAACGTTTGCGCATATCCTCCTCAGTCTCCCATGTGGCATTTTCGGCCAAATGGTTAGACCACAACACCTTTACCATCTTAACCGCTTTTCTTCTAGTCTCACGAGTCTTAGTATCCAAAATCTGGATCGGCCTCTCCTCGTAAGTCAACGATTCATCCAACTCGACCACCTAAGAAAGTCGAGGTTAGATGTGATACTTGGATCTAATTATCATAAGGTTACGATTCCTACCTCGGGGCTAAGAATATGGGATTCGTCGCGGACATACTTCTTCAATTGGGAGATATGAAAAACATTGTGTACCTACGCATAACACGCTTTAGTATTTGAGAGGTATTTACTAAGGTATTCACTAACGAGCGGTTATAGTATGTTATACCTTAGCCAACTCGGTGGGTAGAGCTAGACGATATGCAACTTTTCCCACTCGCTCGAGGATGTCATATGGGCCAATGAACCTCGGGCTTAGCTTTCCCTTCTTTCCAAATCTCATTACTCCCTTGGTCGGGGAGACTCTGAGTAGGACTTTCTCTCCTGCTTCGAATTCGGCTGGCTTCCTTCCCAAGTCTGCATAAGACTTCTGACGATCTTGTGCAGCTTTCATCCTTGCTTGAATCATCTTCACTTTCTCTATGGTGTCTTGGAGGTAATCCGGCCCTAACACCACTTGATCTTCCATGCCACTCCAGCATAGTGGGCTTCTACACTTTTGACCATATAGAGCTTCGTACGGGGCCATTTTGATACTGGCGTGGTAGCTATTATTGTATGAAAACTCTATTAAGTCTAAGTGTTCGTCCCACGATCCTTGTAGGTCTAACATACATGCTCTCAGCATGTCCTCGAGTGTTTGGATGGTTCGCTCCGTTTGTCCATCAGTCATTGGGTGAAATGCAGTACTCAGCTTCAGCTTCGTCCCCATAGCAGCTTGCAACTCCTTCCAGAATTGAGATAGGAATCTGGAATCTCGGTCAGAAACAATGTCTTGAGGAACTCCATGGTACTTAACCACGTGCTTGATGTAGGCTCGGGCTAACTTCTCCATGCTCCAAGTCTCGTTCATCGGGATAAAGCGAGCGGTCTTTGTTAACCGGTCGACTATAACCCAAATTTTGTCATGACCAGACTTGGTTAGGGGTAAGCCCCCAACAAAGTCCATGGAGATGGAATCCCACTTCCATTTTGGCACTTCCAAGGATTGCACGAGTCCCTTGGGCTTGCAATGTTCGGCTTTCACCTTCTGGCAGTTCAAACATCGAGCCACGAATTCAGTTATCTCTATCTTCATGTTCGGCCACCAAAAATTCTTTTTGATGTCTTTGTAGAGTTTGTCGCCTCCAGGGTGCACCGAGTAGGGCGTGTTGTGCCCTTCCTCCAGAATTTTCCTTTTAAGTTCTTCACATTTCATTGGGACACACCACCTTCCTTTGTGTCGAATGCTCCCGTCTTCGTACAATTTGAACGGACCGTTCACGCCATTAGTCATACCTGCTCGGATTCGGTCTAGCTTTATGTCTCCAGGCTGCCCTTCACGAATTTCGTCGAAGATAGATGGGGTAACGGTCATGGTGAGTAACCGTGTTTCCTGATCTACCTCTCCGAAATCCCGAACTTCTAAGCCTAGCTTCTGAAAGTCCCGATATAGCTCATCAGGAAGTATCCATGTTGCTTTGCAGGAGTGAGTTGATTTTCGGCTCAACGCGTCGGCAACTACGTTTGCTTTTCCTTCATGGTACTGGATCTCTAAGTCGTAGTCTTTGACGAGTTCTAGCCAGCGTCTCTGTCTCATGTTAAGCTCCTTTTGGGTGAAAATGTACTTCAGGCTCTTGTGATCGGTGTAAACTTTGCAGTGTACCCCATAGAGGTAGTGCCTCCACAGCTTTAGAGCAAAGATAACCGCTACCAGTTCTAAGTCATGAGTCGGATAGTTGACCTCATGTGTCTTCAGTTGCCTTGATGCATAGGCCACCACTTTGCCGTTTTGCATCAATACGCAACCCAATCCCTTTAAACAAGCATCGGTGTAAATCTCGAACCCTTCAGTCCCAGATGGTAGGGTCAAGATAGGTGCAGTTGTTAATCTCTGTTTCAGCTCTTGGAAAGCTTTCTTGCACTCATCACTCCATATGAACTTCGTGGTCTTCTTCGTGAGATTAGTCAAAGGCTTTGCTATCTTTGAGAAATCCTTCACGAATCTGCGATAATAGCCTGCCAAACCTAGAAAGCTCCGGACCTCTGTCACGGTTGTGGGTGCAGGCCAGTCTATCACTGCTTCGATCTTGGATGGATCCACGGATACACCTTCTTGAGTGATGATATGGCCCAAGAATGCGACCCGGTCCTTCCAGAAATCACACTTTGAGAGTTTGGCATAAAGCTGATTTTCTCTCAAAGTCTGCAGGACGAGCCTCAGATGCTCTTCGTGATCCTTCTCGTTCTTCGAGTACACCAAAATATCATCAATAAACACTACCACAAATGTATCAAGGTATGGGCGAAATACACGGTTCATTAAGTCCATGAATACTGCTGGTGCGTTGGTTAAACCAAACGGCATCACGGTGAACTCATAATGCCCATATCTTGTACGAAATGCAGTCTTCGGTATATCTTTCTCTGCGATCCTCACCTGATGGTAGCCGGATCGAAGATCAATCTTGGAAAATATGCCCGCTCCCTTCAGTTGATCGAACAGGTCATCAATGCGAGGTAGCATGTACTTGTTTTTTATGGTCGCGTTGTTCAGCTCCCTGTAATCGATGCAGAGTCTCAGACTCCCATCCTTCTTCTTCACAAATAAGACCGGAGCGCCCCAAGGTGAGACACTTGGTTTGATGTAACCCTTCCCCAACAGTTCCTCAAGTTGTTCTTTTAACTCTTGCATCTCCTTCGGTGCCATTCGGTATGGTGCTTTTGAGATGGGTCCGGTTCCTGGCATTAGATCTATTGAAAACTCAACTTCCCTCTCTGGCGGCATCCCCGGAATTTCTTCTGGAAACACGTCCGGAAATTCATTGACCACAGGGATTTGGTCAATGGTTGGACTCTCGGACGTCAAGTCTTTGATCATGCACAAGAAAACCTCATACCCCTTCCGGGCGTATCGTTTGACTTGTTGCATGGTTGCCAGCTTCACGCCTGGCCTAGATGTGACCGTTTTGTAGGATATACGTTTCTTATTGGGTCCTCTCAAGACCACCTTTTGTTCATCACATAGGATTTTGGCTTTATATTTCCCTAGTCAGTCCATACCCAACACCACGTCGATATCCTCCAAGTCAAACTAGATTAGATCTCCGGGTAGTTCAGTATCGGATATGACTATGGAAATATTGGAGAAAACATTCCCACACGCTACAACTTTGTTGGATGCCGTTTTTACATTAAGATTAAGTTTAGAGCTAGGTTCTAACTTTGACTTTTCCACAAATTTTGAGGCTATAAAACTGTGGGAAGCACCCGAATCAAATAGTACAAAAGCAGGTGTGGAGTTTACAAGGAAGGTACCTGACACCACATCGTGCGCATTTGCTTGAGCCTGGTTCATGATGTAAATCCGGCCTTGGGTGTTGTTCTGCCCTCCCTGGCCCGGATTACGGTTGGCCTCCGCTGGGCGGTTTCCAGGATTACCACGGTTGTTGTTGGCGTGATTAACCCCACCCTCGGCTTGGTTGTTTCCCTGGTTTTGTCCCTGGTTCGTGGGTTTCCTGCACTCGTATGCTCGATGCCCCAAGAGGTTACAGTTGCAACACCTCACCGCATTTCCCGCACAATCCTTCCCGGGATGGTTGTTTGGGCATAATTTGCATCTATGGTGTCGCATCTGAGTTGGCTGGTTTCTCCCCTGCCCCTGATTTTGGAAGTTTCCTCCGCCTTGATTGTTTTGCCTTTGCTCCGGGCGGTCGGTTCTGGCCTTCTTTTGTTGCTGATCCACCTCAGCATTCTTCCGATCTCTCTTATGGGCTTCTCTCTCCTTCTGGTGTACTAGATAGTACTTACCAGCCTTTCTATAAGCTTCGTTCAAATTCCGCGGCTCCGCTACTGTCACGAACTTTTGGGCCCCGAAATTAAGCCCATTAACAAACCTGCGGGTCATACTAGCCTCTGTCGACACCAGGTCCTTGGCAAAACGAGCCAGTTGGACGAATTTCGTGTGGTATTCCTGAACAG